TGATCGAGTGATGGTCAAAACCCATAAGCGAAAAATTACGTATCGTCATCATCACCATTCCAATCATGCGCTCGCAGAGCTTGCAAAGCACGTTCCTTAGCAGCTCTCTGTGGCCTCGGCTGAGGTGGAAAATTGTTGCTCCCATCTTGAGCAACTCGAGAATCATCGTCGGGCACGGTCTTATCGTGAATCAGGTCCTCAGGGTCATCGGAGACCAATCCGTCCATACGACTATCATCATCGACATCGAGGACACCCTCGTCCGGAATATCGTCGTCTTCTCGGAAGAGCTTCAAGTTTTTAATATGGTGTTCCTCCACAACGTTAGTACTTTCATGTACCAGTACAGCAATACGTTTACCAATGATACGAGTCACCTTAAAAGGACCACGGAAACGACGACTCCATTTATGCTCGCGACGGCCCAAAGCTAGGACTCTGTCGCCAATGCTGATGGGACGATCACTGCGGTGCTTGGAGCTCTTGTTCAAAGCAGTCTCGAAGGCACGCTCACGACGGTCTTGCCATATCGAGATAAATCGTTGTTGAAGCCTGTCTAGACGGAGGGCTCTATTGCGGGCCATAGATGTCAACTCGGTCGGATCATCGGTCTCGATATCATCGAAGTCAGAGTCGAGTTGCTCGATACGGAGCCGTGCCTGTAGGGCAGAGCACGGTGTGAAGCCGAACATGAGCTCGTAAGGGCTAACGTTCTCAGCGCCCTCGTAATCCAAGCCGTACGAGTTGATGCAGTTCTCCAGCATGGCGATAACGACAGGGTCGTCCCATGAACGGCCCGATCCTTCAAGCATTCTAGCTAGCGTGGAGTTTATAACCCTATGGCGAGTCTCGACCCAACCGAGTGTCCAAGGGGCCCTCGAAGCAGAATATTTTATTTGTAGTCCATGTAAGCGGCAATACTCCGTCATATACTTACTGAGATGAGCTTGGGCTCGATCGCATCGTAGTCTTACAGGATAGCCGAAGCGGTTGAAGATGACCGATAGACCATCGCATATGTTTTGAGCCTTGAAAGACCCAGCCAGAGGGAATACAGCCGTGAAGCTTGTGTAGGCGCATGTTGCCGTGAGAAGACTG